GATCTCTGCTGCTGTCTTTGATCGTGACAATCTCCTCTTCCTCTTGTCCGTCCTTTATAGATCTAAGTCCTGGTGCTGTCCGTACAGAGCCTCATTAGCCTCTTTAGCTCGATATCCACGTCTCTATGTCCCATGACTCTCCTTTACAGTGAATAGACGGTATCTATTTATCTGAGCAGATTCACCGAATCTCACGGGGCGCATGTGGCACTGCGGCTGCTGACATGAGGAGGACCCAAGGGTGTTCAGGCGTCCAGAAGGGTGCAATGAGAGAGAAAATCACAACCACATCCTGCCCCGGGGCAAGTCTGTCCGTTAGAGGGTGAGGGAGGAGCACACATGGGGTAGAGACATGCAATGGGCGGGTGTTCATTTTTACATCACGTATAAAAAAACCCAAGTTTTTTCTACTTTAAACTTGGTTATTGCATTGGATTAACTTTATATTGCCCTTTCCAGCTGTCAGAAAAGTCTAAATTCTCTCATTTTATCTTTTAGGTATTCTTTAATATGGATAATACTTTCATCATGCAAGCAATATGGTGTTTGAGGACATCACAGCGTTCTGTAAGCCAGTATTAATTAATGCAGATGGTCTGGTGATACTTAGTGCAAAATACATCAAGATTAAAACTTCAGCTTTACTTTTATTTTATGTTTGTCATTCAAAATCAAAAAATGACAGTTCAGCCCAAATTTTTATACCAAAACTGCTGTCTACAACGATAGAACAGCAACATTTCAAAGCACTTGACTGTGATGACAAAGTTCAATGTGATCAATAAGGAACTCTGACCCTTTTCCTCCATGTGGGAAAACCACAAATTTTTATGTCATACACCATAACTCTTCAAGTGGTGCAACATGGCCATGTTACAGATCAAATCTATGGAGTGGTGACTTCAATCAGAATTGGTTTAAAAAAAAAAAAGAGAGAGAGAAAAATACAATAAAAAGCTGTAAATGAACAAATGCAAGCTGGACATAGTTAACGCAACATAAAATTTAGTGTACATGCGTTCATAACACAAACACACTTGGCTGCAGCAAGTTTGAAGAGAAGCTCGGGCTCTATCCGAAAATGGGCAGAAAAAACTCTTTCCTTCTCCTTCCTTCTTATCGCTGACCTTTGAGAGCTGCGTCATGAGGTCAAATATAAGCACCAAGGAGGAAGAAGGAGCAGTTGAGAAGGAGCTGTCGTTGCTTTAGGTGGAACCAGATCCTCTAAATCAGTGGCGGGAATTACAGTCAAAACTACAACTCCCAGAAAACGGACTACAACAAGCGCACCATCCTCCATGACAGTGTTGAATCTTATGAGAATTATTTACAGATTTCTGTCTTTTCATCACAGCAGTAGCTGACATAAATAAAGTGAATGTACATGAGTGAAATGACTGCTGTTAACTAAAGAGCAGTACATGTACAATCTGCACTTGTATGACCTGCACAGATACAATCTATGAATGGTTAAACATGAACTATCTCCAAAGCGATAAATGCACAGAACAGACCATCAGCAGGACACCCCTCTGTCTCAGAAAGAACACACATATTCTACTGAGTCCTGTCCTTTCGTCCAACAGAAGCTGAACCACATCAGGGCACAAGGAATGAGCTGGTTTTTTTCAGCGCTTACAGTTTGTGCAAATGAGCCAAAACGTAAACAAATGTGCACAAAGTTGAATTAAAACCATTATTACCTTCGCCAAGGAGGTTATGTTTTTGCCGGCGTTTGTCTGTCTGTTTGTTTGTTTGTTTGTTTGTTTGTCTGTTAGCAACATAACTCAAAAAGTTATGGACCGATTTTGATGAAATTTTCAGGATTTGTTGGAAATGTGAAAAGGAAGAACTGATTTCATTTTGGGGGGGATCCGGAAGAAATCCTGGATTCTGGATCACTTTGAAATTTTAGTTAACATTGTGGTAAATGGGGCCAAAAATTTTGTTTCTCAATATCTTGGTTAATTATTGACCAAACCCCATGAAATTTGACTCAGGGATGGACAATGGGATCCTCTTTCATATTCCAAAGGCTGATCTGGATCTGATCCAGAAGTCTGATTTTATTGCAATTTATCTGCGCTCTCTGAGTGCTTTTCTAGTATTATCAAAGGGGCTGATGTGGCTCTATAGGAGTTATGGTTTATATGTTGTAAAGTTGAGTTTATTTATGTAGAAGATTTTGATTAATAATTTGCCGCAGTGTATAACTTTTACAGTAGTGTTTGGAAATTTTCAGTTTGATCTGCACAGTGGATTGTGGGATACTTTATAGTTCCTTACCGCTGGTTAGGAAGCTTCCTACGCTAAAGGAGCTTATAGTTGTTTGTATTTTTGCACATTTGTAAGAGTATTTGAAGAAACCGGGATACTACATCTGATCATGTACACAGGGATATGAGTATCACAGTTTCTCAGCTCGCATGTAAACAGCATATCCCAAACACTGCCATAACCGGGATATGGCAAATAACCGGAATACTGATGCATGTAAACGCACTCAATATCATATTTAATGATTAGTGTGACGCATGAGATCAGTGACGTGAGCTCTCTGACTAATCCAGCCTTTATGCCTTAGCCTCTAGGTTTAAATCTGTAACATGCAAAGCAGCATTAATCAGTGTAATGAATAATGCCTTTGGCCGACAATCTTCTTCCACCGAGCAGTGTTGGTCAAATATCAAGACCAGTGTTATGCAAACTCTGCTAATCACTATTGCAATATACAATAATAGTACATAATCATACCTTATATCCATCAGACCTGTTTGTGTGATATTAACTTAGTCATTATATATTGTTTGAGTCTTTATGTTGCTGTATTTTGTGGGTTTTTTGGTCTCAACTCAATAAGGAGCTTTCTTCGATTCTACTTTTCTCAGACTCTGACTTTTCTCGACATAAACCTTACACTTACACTAGAAACATGCAACATCCAGACCACGACTAGGCTGTATTTGTGTGTTGTAAAACTTTAATTCAAACAAGATACGGGAATGAAAATGTGCAAAAGGGAGAAAGCTACAGGGCTGCAGCATTTTGTCAATAAATCTGGTGACATTATTAAACCAAAATGTCCAAAGAAAGTGTAAACAATTTCATACTTTCACTTTATTCATAAGTATACTGTATCCAGAAGCCTTCAGTCAGCATATTTCAACTTTCGTATTGTTAAAATGTAATATCAAGCCATTTAAATTTAGAACACAAACAGAGATACAAGTAGAAGTCAAGGCAGGAGTTTGCAAACTAAAGGAGTTTTGTTCAGCCCCTGCCCTCCCCTCTCTCTTCACTTTTGGGTGGTCTGTTGGTCTGATGGGAGTGACATCACGGGCAGACCAGGGTCCCGGGGTGCAGCCCTGTGTCAGAGCCTCAGCTGCGGCGCTTTATCAGAGTTTGTGAACCTGACCCAGACCGTCCAACACTCCACCGCAGAGTCAACATGACATTTAGAGGGCATACTCGCAGTAACCTGTTCATTACTTTTAATCGCTACTTCAGTTTTAGATCCAGGCTGCAGGTCGGGTTGTTTGGTTGAATCATGTATCAGAGTAGAGCCAGGAAGACTTCAGAGTTTTGTAATGTAACTTAAGTAGCATAAAAAGCAAGGCAAATAAGTCCATTGCCTCTGTATCAGGTTAAAGGTATGGTATACATTACGGGTCAAAAGTTTTAAAACACCCTAATTTTTCCTGTTATTTATTGCAATTCAAGTCGTGCAAGTCCAATGAAGAGCTTGAAATGGTACAAAGGTAAGAACTGAACAGCCAGAGGTTAAAAAAAAGATAAAAAATACAAAACACAAGTCCAAGCTCTGCCAAAACTACCTCAGGAAAAAAGAACAAGACGGTGAAGCTTGAAAACATAGAGTGTCCAGACTTAAACCCCATCGAGCTGGTTTGAGATGAACTGGACAGAAGAGTGAAAGTCAAACAACCTACAAGTGCCACACATTTATGGGAACTTCTGCAACAGACTTGGGAAGAACTTTTTTGAAGAATATTTGATTTCTATCGTAAAAAGAACGAACCACGAGTGTGTTCAGCTGTTATATCTGCCAAAGGTGGACACTTTCATGAATCAAAAGTTTAGAATACGTTTTGGTCAAGAGTAAACTGAAGAAAAAATAAAACGGAAAAAGTGTGGTGTTCGTATACTTTTGACCGGTAGTGTATGTAGCTTTTGCTGTAAAAAAACAAAAAGTATTACAAAAGAACCTCCAGAATTCACTCACTGAGCACTGATAATGATTAGCTGCATGTGCTGGGGTTTAGGTAGTGACCATTCAGATCAGATAGAGGCATTTTAGGTTTAAACCAACTGGATTTCAGCACTGAAACTGGCAACTCAAATGAGAGACTCATATGAGGCTCATTCTGTTTAAGGCTGGGTATCATTAAGAAGTTGCCAATACAATACATACCTCGATACATTGGCCATGATACGATGCATATCCCGATACAGTTTCAGCTGGATTCGATTTGATACGATTCAATAAAAAATAAAGGCTAAATCATGGCTGTGATACTAAAAGTCTTTGTTAAACCATTTCTTGTGCAAAGTTAATATGAAACAAACATTTTTATCCTCAAAATGGTGAAAATGTCAAATGTGTTGCATAAATGAGTTTCCTTCCACTAAACAAGCGACAAAACTGTAGCGCTGTAACAAAATAACTGAGTAAAATGTAGTATATAGTATAAAAAACTACGATACGATGTACTTGATATTTTTGCACCCCTCTAATTCTGATCCATCCTGATAATGAATGAACCAAAATACCAAACTATAACATAAACAACTTAGCCATCATGTCCAATGTTTGTGTAATTAAGATTAAATCAGCGTTGCATTTATTATCATAAAAGCTCTACTTGAGCATGTCTTCCTTGTATCTGGCGACACATACAGGATTATCTGTCCCTTTAAATCTTAAACACTCCTTGAATCCTGAATAATAACCTTACTAATGACTGATTATTTTATATTTACAGGTACTCCACGACAAACAAAGACCACAGCTACATCATCACGTTCTTCGCCACCTGCTTCATCCTGCCCCTCGGAGTCATCTTCTTCTGCTACGGCAAACTGCTGCGCAAACTGCGTAAGGTCAGCGCCAATTTTCATTCACAACACATTTGTACGAGCTCCACAGACTACACCCCTAAGACACTTCTCACATATATGAAACTCTGTATTTTATGAATGAAAATGCAAAATTGACACATCCTTGAATCTCTGTTTATGGTTTTCAGGCATCATGATTCCTTCCTGATTTCAATGATGTAACACGGTAAAAATCATCCACTGTTCTACCATTAAACAGTTCACATTTTAAAATATTATTTAGCTTTTGAATGCAGAAAGATCCTCAAAAAATCCTTCAAATCACAGAGGAATCATTTGCCAAAAACCCTTGATTAGTTGTCAGAATCCTATGGAAGAAAATGCTCTTTAATGGTCAGATTGCAGATTTGTTGACCTGATTTATTGTAATTACTGGGCCTATCCGCATGAAACAAAAACTGCCATAAAGTTTAATTACTACAAGAATTGGTACCCTTATTCAAACTGGAAGATGTGATTGCTCTCAGTTGAAATTACTTAAACTGTTAAGATTAATATGGCAATTTTTTGACCCAGTCCCTGACAAATAATGATAAGATTCAACATTTGCTGACAATTTGGATTTGCTACTCTTCATATATTTATTTTTATAATCTTTTAATCTCTTAACAAAAGACGTGATATAAGTTGGAACCTAACTACTCTGCAAAAAGTCACCTGGATCCTTTGAAGTTTTTGATTAGTTTTGATTACATGATGTTATTGCATTGGTAAATAATACATTTTATGGTTTATGGGATCAGTTGTGTACAGTCTCATGCCAGAGGTGGCTGCTTGAATTATTATGTATTTTGATTTTTAAAGAGCCTCTACCTGATTTCAAGTTAAGTTAGGAACATGTTTCAGTTTGAACTTTTAGCTTTGCCCACTTAAACCTTCCTGCTGCTGTAATATTGCACCATGACACGGAAACAACAGTCTGGGATAGTGTTATGCAATTGTTTCCGTACACTTCTCAAATCTCAGGACACAGATAGGTTTTCTAAATCTAAGACACAACAAGCCCTTACTATTTGTGCTTTTGTTACTTTGGAAAATGACCATTATATTTTACAGTTGAATTTTTTCTTATTTACTCCCCCTTGAGCTTGTTATGCAGTTAAAATGTACGACTGTGTGGATCATTATGTTATTATTTACACATTTTAAATCACAATAGTTTACAACCAGTTAATTAAAGAAATCGTCCACACATTACTGCTTTAGAAAAGTGCAGGGCCAATGGGAAGTGAAGTCGTCGCAAACATCATCACGAAGTCGAGTCAGTGTTATAGATTTGTTTGAGCCGATGTGTAAATGGCTTATACTGTGCACACCAGGGAAACCCATCCAGTTTAAACTTTGCAGGCACATGCACAGGCACATGCACAGGCATCTGCGCAGACACACGCACAGGCATCTGCGCAGACACACGCACTGGCATCTGCGCAGACAGACACAAGGGCATCTGTGCAGATAGACCGCTTTGCTTCATAGATATGACTGGGATGATTTAATAAAACAATACACACTCAACATGGATACCACATTTAAAATGAAATATTAGGTTTATTAAAGCTGGGTCACTCCTACATTGCCCCATGTTGACACATCAGCACCAACAGATCCTTAACACCAGCAACTCCTATAGATGCACATCACACTAGCAAGCAGTGATTTTTTATTTTTTTTTTGTATCAAAATGATTGTGCTATGCTGCTGAATGCTGCACCTATCACTGATTGAGAAAATAAAATTGTAGAACGAAGTTAGTAGGGAGCAGTGTGCGTATGACGGTGGCGGTGAACACAGGGCATGATCAGCAATCGATTCTATTCACGCTTAACCAGAAGACGTTTGGAAACATGTGGATGACAACTTCTGGTGTAGTTACCAACACTGGGCATGTGATAAAACCATGGATTAAACAGCAATGTCTTCACAACCTGCCAAAGCTTTTCATGAGGGATGTGACTCTAATTGCATTTATTGTCACTGCTGATCTGCCAAACATAACGGAAAGCTATGATGACATCTTTTTTTTGTTTTTTTTATTAAGTTAGACAAATTATAATACACAAATTAATAGGCAGTTTATAAAAGGAAAAAAGAAAGCATACAGTGATGTCTAGATGAAAAAAATCAGGCCATTTTCTCTCTGTTTTCCCTATGGTTTTCCCAGATTGACTACCGCCAACAGCGCCCGCCAGAAGTCGTCATCAGCATGTTTCCAAACGTCTTCTGGTTTTGTGACATAAGCGTGAACAGAGCCCATATGGCGTCTTGAAAATAAGCAATTAAAGATTACTCAGACATGTATGAATCACTCCAAATACGACTGCCAGGAAGGTAAATGAGAAAAGAAAAACGTCGAAAAGTGGATTTTGCATAATAGGTGTCCTTTAAGACTTCAGTGATATTTAACAAAGGTTAGAGTGGGGGAGAGGCGAGTTTATAGTTCATGAACCTTTAGTGTAAAAATAACCAGTCCTCAATCACAGCAGAGACCTGTAATCAGACAGCACTTCTCTACGGCACTTTAAATAAACACTGGAATATGCTGCTGCAGGCTCAGAGCTGTCAATCAAACCTGTCAATGGTGAAACGACTAATGTGATTGGACGATTTTAACAAAGCAATAGTGTACATGTGGAAGTGTTCACAAAAGACTGAGTTAACAGTTTGATTTATAGTGAAGAAATGACAAGAACTGACAAAAAGCAGAACACATTTACATAAAATACCAAATCTATTCAAAACATGGAAAATAATAACATGAAATAATTAAATATACTGTATTTATGATGATTTTTTGTTGAGAAAACAGTATTAAATCTATAAAAAGTTAACTTATAAAATGAAATGAGGAGAATAGTGGTGGTAAAATCCAAGTTCCTAATAAAACAGTCTCAGTAGAAATGATTCAGATCATTGTGTCCAAGACTGGAAGCTGCACGTCCAAGGAACAAGTCTGCGCTTCTGTTTATGTGGGAGACAATCTGTGATGCAGTGTAATGCCATTCAACAGATTTGAAAACAAAACATAATTTATATTTTAGATTTATGCACATTTTACTGATAAAACTGAAAGGAATGATTTGACATGCAATTTAGAGTTACCTTACCTTTACTGTACTATTTTTGTTTCCTTCACTGTAAATCTGCTTTCACACTTATCCCTTTTGGTCTGGACTTTCTTGCTTTGTTGGCCAAACAGCTTGCCCTTTGGTCCGTGAAAAAGTACCGATCTCATTCCGGATCTAGGTCTGGTCCAGTGCAGTGTGAATGCGAACTTTTGGACCAAATCCAGGGAAGTAACACGCGTTCGTTCACACACAGACGAGCGAACACGAGGAAGATGGAGCCCAAACGTGAGGAGAAAAGGGAGACGAGCCTACAGAGGTTATAAACTACCGTAAAGTCACATATTGTACCGATTTGACACAATTGATATGTGCTTCAATCTGCACCTCTTGGTTTTCATCAAGTGTCAAATTAGCAAAGTTAAGCTTCCAGACAAAATAACTGAAAACCTCTCAGCCAAAATACAGTCTGCTGCTTGTTTGGGTTCAAGATAAGCCTTATTTGGCCTAAAATCATCAAATGCACAGCAATCAGTGTCAGTCAAGTTATTCTCCTTCCCAGAGCCACAAAAAACTGCCATCTGTTCATAACCACAACTACAACGTAATGTGTCGTGTTAGATAAACCAAAAATGACCTATTGATGTCAGAAAATATCAAACACGTGCGCACTAATGACAGCACATCACACAGTTTACTTATAGCAGAGGAAGCACCACTGTAATAACCAAGCTGACACCACCTAGTGCCTCCGCTCAATTTAATTTCTCTCCAGGTCAGGAATCTGAATACACTAGATGGTTCGCAAAATCCCTGGAAATAAGAATCTAGATACCAGCCAATCAGCAAAGATCCATACATTCTGTGTTGTCAACAATTGCCAAGATTGATGATTTAAAGCCAGAATAAAGAGAATGTTTGGTGAGTTTTATTAAGGGGAAAGATGTTATTGCCCTTCTTCCTGCAGGATTTGGGAAAAGCTTATTATACTAGTTAGCCCCATTGGCGACAAGGACCAAATAGCAGCGATTGGTTAAATGATAAAATGTACCCGCCTACCACTGAGCGAACAAAATCTAAGGCTTCGAGGTCAGACCGTTTGTACGAAGTGAAACAAAGCAAAACCAGCTAATCAATCAGGCTGTTATATAGTATTAGTATATTTTTAAAAATCCCAAATAAATTTCTGAATATTACCGTATTTTCTGGGCTATTAGGCGCTCTGGATTATAAGGCGCACTGTCATTAAATGGTCTATTTTCTAACTTTTTTCACTAATAAACTTCACCGGACTTTAAACGAAACACAACAGTTGGATGGGTTAGTGGGACTTTGTTTGTTCGTTCACGGTGACTCTGGGCTTTGTTCAGTTGTGGTGTGTAGGGAGGGTGCTGTCTGGGACCGCTGGATTGTCGGCGTGTTCGCAGTGACTCAGTTGTTCAGTCGTGTCTAGAAGTGGCACATTGCACTCGCTTTTTCAATTCGTTCCTCCGTTCCGTTCCTCGTCGGCGTGGAGTGATTAGTGTGGCTGTGGGTGTGTTTCGCTGCGCAGTTGCTGTCTGCTCACGTGTTTGCGTGCGCTGCGGGTGGTTGCGGCTTTATAGTTTACTGAAGTCGTACTGGGACACCCCATGTCATGTACAGGGCACTCTGGATTGCAGGGCACGCAAACATTTTTTGATGGGGTTGGAGGCTTAAGAGCGCGTCTAGTAGCCCGGAAAATACGGTAAACTACAGCATAATATTTTTTGTTATCACATATGTCCAGTTTTAATCTCAACGTCATTTATTTCTTTTACTTTTCAGCACATTTCTGATGGTTTGCAAAAGTGTTACAGCTGCCATCCAGTTTCATTTGTCAGTATCTCCCTCTCCCTCTCCTGTTAATAGTTTATGATATTTACGACTTTCTGTCCACACGTTGGATTCCTAACCCTCTCCTCTGCCCCAGGTGTCCCACGGGCGTCTGGCCACAGCGAGGAAGCCCGAGCGTCAGGTGACCCGGATGGTGATTGTGATGATCGTGGCGTTCATGGTGGGATGGACTCCGTATGCGGTCTTCTCCATCCTGGTCACCATCCACCCCACCATCGAGCTGGACCCACGCCTCGCCTCCATCCCAGCGTTCTTCTCCAAAACCGCAGCTGTCTACAACCCCATCATCTACGTCTTCATGAACAAACAGGTCAGAGTCATGCAGCAGAATACATTTACGCTTTCAGAACTGTCCCAATAATTACTACACAACCCGTCAAATGTTTTTTCTATATGTATACTGCTTTTTATATTTGATATATATACAGAAAACATCAAATATATGAAGTAAGATGTATGGAACCCTTTGCTTTGTCGAGTTATTTTACTTTTTTCTCTTTGCTACATAATTCCATATATCTTTCTTAATATATTTGATGTCTTCTGAATGTATATAAAATGTAGAAAGTATCAAACATCTAGAAAAAAAAGTGTATATCAAATTGGTTGTGTACATATATCAAATTAACGAAAAATCTGTTTCTCAGTCAATACTTTTTGGGCGGCAGATAGGGCTGAATGATTCGGGAAGTATATCTAAGGCTACGTTCAGACTGCAGGGCTCAGTTGGGATTTTTTGTGAAATCCGAGTTTTTTTGCAAGGTTGTTCACTTTTCCAATTAAATGTGACTTGTATGTGCTCTCCAGTGTGAACTTCAGACACCTCAAAAGTGTCCCGCATGTGCACTGGAGGACACAACGACGTCAAGTCTAAATGCTGGGCTTGTCTCCCAAAATACGGTCCAGTTCTTCGTAAAATGGACAGGTTACACGTCCATGTCCGCTTTGTTTGTTTGAGTCTTTAGCCTCCATGTATTTGGCTCGCAGGCTCTTTATTTTTCGTTGACAATGGAGCCAGAACCGCCTGTAGTCGTGCTCGGCCATTTCTTTGGCAATCATTTCAAAAACTGCCCGATTCCAATAAGACTCCTCCAATTTGACTTGAATACAGTGATCCCCCTAAATATTAATTAACTCACTAACCTCGCTTTCTCTCCATTGACTAGACTCCGAGCCTGACGCGTAGGTGGGATGAATGTGACCTGGCCGTTCAGACTGAAGTCGCATTTCAAAAGATCAGATATGTATCGGTTTTAGGAGCACATATCCAAGTGCCCTGGGTCACATTTGAAAAAAAATTGGATCTGTGTCGTTCAGGCTGTCATTAAAAGATCAGATACAGGTTGCACAGAGGCGAAAAAATCAGATTTGGGTCACTTCGGGCTTCAGTCTGAACGTAGCCTAAACGCCATTTTTCTGAGAAGCCTTTCAATTAGATTTGCGATTTATTTTTTAATAAGAAGATTCTGATTTTAATGAGAGAGTTTAGCAGTTTTTACTAGAGAAAAGAGGTCTGGACATATGAGGAAAAGTGTGATTGGTCTAACAGGTATCCACACTTAACTCCGCCCCTGCAGCCAGATGTTTGTGTTTGGAAACATCTGGCTGTAATCAGGGCAGTCATATGTGATGTCACGTAGTACTTGAAATTGCAGCAGCCACTAAAGGCAGTACACAGCTCAGTTGTTGACTTTTTTTGACCAGAAAGCTGCAAATTTACCTAATTCACAATGCTAAAAAATGACAGAAGAAGAAGAACAATATACACAGTTTAGCAGCAAAAAAAAAACAATAATTTGACTTTTGTGTGGCTTTGGAACAGCTTTTTTCAGAAGTGAAACTTGGGTTAACCTCTACCTCGGTGCAGTCAATCAAAGTGTTGCTTTTGGCTCTTTCTTCCAGATTTACGAAAGATAAAATACTTTAATTATTTTGTCACATAGTCTTGGATTTACAACATACTCTGGGGGAAAACACAAAATCTACTCATTTAAAGAAGTAAAGTTGGTTATTCTGGCTTGAAAGCTTAAACTTTTTAGCTTTAGTTAGTTACTAAGTTACAGGGGAGCCACGGGGTCTTAAACGTCTTAAAAAGGTCTTACATTTTATGTTCCTAAATTAAGGCCTTAAAAAGTCTTAAATTATGTTGTCCAAGTCTTATTTTTTCACAAAGGGCTTAAATTTCTTTGTATAATCAATCGGGTTAGAGTGCAATGTTAAATGGAGGGAGGGGGGAAAAAAAAAACGTGAAATCATGTAACGTGACTGAATGTCTAATTTGGATTCTTCACACATCTCACATATTCTGGAGTACACGCAGACAATACTTTGGTTTCTGGAACCAGCTGCAGTGAGTAAACAGTCAGTAGAGTGGAGGAAGATCTTGGATGGATCATGGGGAATTGTAGGTTTACAGTGGCTCTTAGATTCTAGATATAGTACTTGTGGTTGGTTGGTCATTATGGATGGTTGGATGGTCATCCTGCTCATCGCCTTCGTCTTTCACTATTTTTCAATTTCGTTGGGAAGGGAAACAGTTTGAACAGAGGTTTGCAGTCACACACATCTGATTCCCTTTTGCATCTATGGAGTTCGCAAACAAATTTCTCAGGACGTTTTCCACTGTTAGGATCCAGCAACGACACAATTACAATGTCCGAATCCCAAAACCAAAATATGACAATGTCAGAACCAGAAACAAAAGCGATATGGTTCAAAAGACTTGAAAAGATCAGCTTTGTCAATAAACGCATCCCACTGGGAAATCAAACATGGCGATTTGATGATCACTTTTTCTGAGAATACTTCTTGGTATGCATTGCGCAATGACCGGAGGTCCGACATTCTTGATGCGTGTATTGGATCTGGTGTTTTTTGTCTGTATAATGGGTGCGATGTTGGTCTTAATTTTCATTTAAGTGGTCTCAAAAAGGTCTTTAGAAAGTCTTACATTTAGAGTAGTCAAACCTGGGGATACCCTGTAGTTAGTTTTAGTTTTTGCTTGATACAAACAGCTTCCGTACTTAAAATTGACAAGAAGTTAGCGTTGTCATTACACTAAAACTCAATTTTAATACTAAGAAATAGCCTTAATACAGGTTTTGACTCTTTATTTAGATAATAGAAGGCCATTTTCATCATTAAACTGTAGTACTTTCTTTTAAATTATCTTGTGGCCTTATATCTGTGTAACCCCTCAGTCGTTCTGGTAGGTTCCATAGTTTTCCATCGGAGTACTAGTCTGAATGGTCTTATATTTGTGTATCTTTATCGCTCAAGATCATTTTAAAGCTCAGGAAAGGTTCATTTCTGTCCTGTGACTATATTTTTGTATCAATACTTGCTCAAATGAGTATCTATTCTCATTAATAATTTCAGTATCGATAAGTATCTCATTTTTACAATCTTAAGAATTATGAAATTACCTTGGAGCTTCTTGGGGGAAACAATATTGTCCTCCGTTTGAACTGGTGTGAGACTCCAGCACATTGTTCAGTGTTGTTGTTGGATGTTAGCATGTGCCTCAATAATGCATGTGGTATAAATAAATGAAATGTGGATCGGCTATGCACAATTGTCTGTTAAAAAATACATCAGGAGGACGGTATAGACGCGTACAGCCACATGACATTCAGACATGAGATTGACTTTGTTTAATCTTACATCCAGGTCGTGTCTCCTGTCTCCACTTGTGTAACTTTGTGTGGGAAACTGGGAATGACTTGGTATTTACTTTGGGTTGTCCAGTCGTCATGTGTGTTATTTTAACTTCAGTAACGCATATTTGAACCTTTTCTTCTACCCGAGGAGACTGCACTACGGTTATAATACAAAATGGAAGCAGTTAAAGTTCACATGTAATATCAATACTAAAGGAATATATTTTTACTTTATACTAGTGTTTCTCAAACTGTGGTACATAGGCTGCCTCAGTTGGCATGTGAGGCCTGGGAAATTTTAGTACTTACCATATTTTTCAGATTATAAGTCGCTCCGGAGTATCAGTCGTCCAGCTAAAAAATGTGTAATGTAGATGAAAAAAAACATATATAAGTCACACCGGACTATAAGTCGCACTTTTTGGGGGAAATTTATTTTATATAATCAGAGAACAGGGACCGACATTTTATCTTGAAAGTCAAGTTGTAGTAATAACAATAGAACAGAGAACAACAGACTGTTAATGTCACATATGAACAGTTCTTCAGATAAACTATAACATAAACAACAGAACAAGTTTACCAAACTCTCCATCTCACTCCAAATCACTAAATCCATTCAATTCTTCATCCTCTGTGTCACGTCTGAGCAACTCCGCGACCTCCGGAGGTAAACAGAGCGCCGCTTCCTCTTCTGCGTAGCTGTCGTCAGACTCAGCATCAGTTCCAGTTAGAATTATTCCGACAGGATGGTTTCGGTTTCGGTTCGGTTTCCATCTAATGACTTCCAGCAAAATTGCATGGTGCATCCTCCCGTTTGTCATAAGTTTCTCACTCACTCCAAACTTTCTTTCTGCTGCTTGATTACCATTTTCAGCTGCATCGTGTAATCTGAAAAATATGATTTTCTTTTTGGGGGGCATTTGTGTTCAGTCTTCTCAGTCGTCCTTATAAGTTTGTTTAAATTTAAAATATCCAGTGGTGCAGAAGTAATGGTGCGATCGACCGACATGACACAGACAGGACAGAGGCTCTTTCTGCAGGAGACATGCGCAGTAGAACCAAGTGACAGTGGTACAAGAGTAATAGGAGCAGCAGATAGTGACACACAAGACTAGAGCGTCCTCTAAGTGTATCCTCCCGGTGAGACTATATATAAATCTCACTTGAGTATAAGTCGCAGGAAACACCCAAACCATGAAAAAAAGTGCCAGTTATTGTCAGAAAAATACAGTAGTTCATATTGTTGAATATAAAATATCTGAAAAATGTGATAGAAAGCTCATTGTGTTAGATTAGAAGAGTGGGGGTGGGATTAAATACATTTTCTTCTTTTCACTCCTTTTTGGGCAATTTTTTTGTTTTAATTTACGTTATGATTTGACTAATGTTATAAAACTTGCCCAAAATAAATATATAAATAGATCTGGATTAGCCCTATTTCAAGCCAGCCAAGAATACAAACTCCAGTACTTTACAAATATGTGAGTTTGGACGTAGTTTTATTTTCTAAAGTTCAAATGGCTGTAATTGACAGGTGGATTATCCAATCAAGGACACCCATAGTCTATCCGTACCTATACAAATATGGCGAGGAAAAATAGCAATGATACTTGTTCAAATAATATAGTTTAAACTTAAGGGTGTAGAT